TTTCGATTGAAAGAATAGCAAGCCGTTCTTGTGTCATTGAATTCCTCAAATATGTTTTGATAATTTTAAGCTTCGAAAAACTCCTTTCAGCAGACGCAACTATTACAGGTGTGGTGGCAATAATTCTCAGGACTACTTCGATAGTCGGGTAAACTTCGGTTAATCTTTTTTCTATTATGTATTTCAGCACCGAGATAATGTCGTCGTTTTCTTCATATACGTGAATAAACATACTTAGTTCTTCGTACAATTCATGTCCATCATTATCACATGATTCCCCTACTGTCATAGATATTTGCAAGTCGTTGCATTTCTCCAAGAGTCTACTATCACTAATTTCCTTTAATCTTTTTATATTATAGATCAAACCATTTTCCAAGATAGTGATCATGAATCGTCTCATCCTGCATTTGTTTCAGGTGAAGTCTCAGCACTGGATCAAATCGTGATATTAACTTTACTAAATTATATGCACTTCGAAAATTATGTCTTTTACCAAATTGAACCCATTTTGAGGAATGTAATCCTGTAGTTCATTACCTACAACCTCATTTGCTGAACAGAAAAACAACAAAAAGTTTCTGCATTCGTATGCAGTACATAAGTATATAAGAATATAGTTTCAATTCTATTTGGACATGGAAATATTCAGCTTTTTTCATAAGTCTACTCAAAAATCATTACTCTGCTCTTGCTCCGTTGACATTACCATCTGGGGCTTGTGCAGACCATTGATGATTCAGATCTTCCATTCCAGCAGTCATGACTGTAGACATAAACTCAGGCTCAGATTCGGGTTCTTGACTGGATAGCGTTGACGGCGGCACCGCTGACCTAAGAGACAATGATGTAGTTAATTCATCATCGTCCTCGCTGTTTTTACTTGATGACGGTGGCGGCACCCATGATGATGTGGAAGGAATGCTTTCAGCTGGATGAGGATTAGAGTCAGAGTCACTTTCAGTTAATACATTTTTTGTAGAGGTTTCTGTTTCTTGATCATCACTTTTTATATATTTATATAAGGATCCACGTAGATTTTCTTATACCTGCTTTCTTTTCATAGCTCGTTTCCTTTTTGAACTACCTGACTCATATTTTCTACCGGCATCACGATCACGCGAACTCATTTCGTAAAACACTCGTTTCTAACTATAAATGTATTTCTGTAATGTAATACGCAATGTATACGCAACATCGCACATATCACATTATGTCGAATGATTCAGACTACTGCATCTATGAACTTCATTTAATTTGTTTCAGAAAAGTGATGCCGATGAGGAACTTTAAAAAAATTGAATCTGGTTAGTAGGCCATGGTCGAATGTAACTTATAGTACTGAATTTTTCGTCTGATACTGCGGCTGACATCATCAGTTGTATGTGCGTTGACTGCAAGGACGAACGTTATCTTCAACAAACCAGATATTGTCTGTCACATAAAATGTGGGACACCCGGTATATGTATATAGGTCAAGTTTATTCGACTGGCTTATATTTGGTTATTGACATCATCAGTTGTATGTGCGTTGACTGCAAGGACGAACGTTATATTTCGAAGTCTCAACAAGGACTGACTGGCGACCTCAGTGATCACTCGTATCTATAATTTCAGAGGGTGGTGGGGATGATGCTGATGGGGATGATGGTGAGGTAGCCATGTGAATGCTCGTTTATGATTGATCCACGTTGTTGACAGGTAAGATGCTGGTGGGATGTCGATGGGTGTTGTACTCTGTTCTATTTCTGACCTTCTGGAGTACCGGATACCATGTTCCAATGACCCGTATACCTTCTCTTTGTCTATTATGATTGTTGATATGCTTGTAGATGTCAATGGCCTTCCTATGGAGTCGTGCGTGGTGATACGTTCAAATGAACACGACAGCAGTTCCTTCGTATTGTATCACGTGGTCTGTTTCAGTTTGATACTTCAAGTTCCATTTAACCATGGCCTAACAGCCATGATTTTGTTCTCTTCAATCGTGACCCGACCGTGGAAGCCTGTGTTCTCTGAAACTTAATCACAGGTATTTATGTAGAATAATGATTCCTCGATGTTTGTTTGAAAGTGGTTGACAATGTTTCATGGTGAATTTTACTAGTTTGTACTTCCATTGTCTAATATGATTCGAATGTAATCCAGTTTAATGAACCCACAATTTGATTGGTCTCCTTTCGGAAATTTTTACAATTTACGGATGATCATCGAAATGAATTTTCATCAAATCTTTAGCAGGTCTGGAGGATATAATAAAGTAAAAAAACTGATATAAAAGGGTAATTGTTGGAATCATCAATTACTACCAAAGTAGCCGAGTCACCGCTGTCCGAAGTTTGAATAATATCGTAAACATGCTCGTATTACCGTCTATTTTTTATTCTAGGTTGAATTTTCAAATGCCTTGGAGTGCCCGACATCATCGTCAACTATCGTAACCTAAAACTTGTTAATAACAATCATCAGTAACTGAATAGACAATTAGTGCTGATATTTTATCATATACTGGAAGATTTCCACATTTTTCTTTATCAAGATGGAGTAGTAGAAAGCCAAAAACTTTCTATCCCATGAATGATGTAAATTTGATACACAAAAAAAATGAAAGAAAAAAGCGACAACGGTATACCACCCCTGACTTATTTTGTTTCAACATGTGTCAATCTCCTATAAAAATTATATGCACTTCGAAAATTATGTCTTTTACCAAATTGAACCCATTTTGAGGAATGTAATCCTGTAGTTCATTACCTACAACCTCATTTGCTGAACTGAAAAAAAAAAAACAAAAAGTTTCTGCATTCGTATGCAGTACATAAGTATATAAGAATATAGTTTGAATTCTATTTAAACATGGAAATATTCAGCTTTTTTCATAAGTCTACTCAAAAATCATTACTCTGCTCTTGCTCCGTTGACATTACCATCTGGGGATTGTGCAGACCAACGTGGCGGGGAAAGTGCATATCGGTCTGCTCTTGCCCCAGCTTCGTTTCTTGTTGAATCCATTTTGGTTTTACACTTACTTATTAATTTATTTGAATGATTATTGAAATTAGGCGAAGAATTTTGATAGTGACTTCATTTGGATTTTTTTTTTGTTCATTAACTTCATTTTGATTTTTTGTGATTTATTAATGTTTTCATTCTAGGACTGCCATGGTCCGCAATTATGTTAGAAAAACCAACAGGGGTGATTATTCGAGAGAATCGCTAGAAGAAGCTATTGGGGAGGTTAAAGGCGGACGTATCAATGCTTATAAAGCTAGCAAGCAATATGGAACATTAAACACAATAATGGACCATATAATCAAAATCCATTGCCAGAAGCATCGCGATTCCAATCCAAGACGAAAAACGACTTGCTGAGGGTCTTCTGAAGTTCTGAAAGAAAGTACTTCAGCTTATTGGTGAGCTTGTTCAGTCAAACAAGATTAAGACTCCTTTCGAAGGAGGAATTCGGTGTTGGTTTCTTGGGTTCGCCAAAACAAATAATTCGTCGATAAAAAAGTCACAAAGCGTGGAGGTAGCCCCAAAATAAATAGTAATCCATTCATAATTTACGAATATTTCACATCATTAGAAAATACAATCAAGGAGTTAGAGTCAGAAAACGAACCTAGTAGAATCTGGAACCTGGACGAAATAATTTTCAATTGGAAAAATATTTGGGACCAGTGGCAGTAAAAGTACATACTCAGTTTATTTTGTTTTGGAGTTTTCTTCCTTATACTTACTGCACAATACGCAGACGTTTCAATCAACTAAACCCTTGCTGAACATTTCACCAAAAGAAAACAACTCTGAAACCAAGCAGCTGAATGCGGCGAAAAGCAGTTGAATATAGATTTGTTGTGAATTACGATCTTGCTCCGCAGAGGTTTAAATAAGGTTTGATTATGCTCCTAACTGGCATGTACGCTCTTGCCCCGTTTTGACGGGGAAGTGCGGATTATTGACATGTACTGAAATTTGTGGGAAGTGCGGATTATTGACATGTAGTGAAATTTTCTGTTATTATGTGAATACAAAAGTGAAAACGGAGACAATCATAACAAATTTTCCGTGGTATATCGCTGGTGCTTTGCTCACCAGCGATATAACGTTTTCTTGTTACACATTGGAACTTTATAGGTTTAAAGTCTAACTTTATAAAAACCAATCTGCACTCACCCCACTTCACCTTAACTATATGAATGAAGTGCGAACTTGCTATGTTATGGTTGATAGAATTTACTCATAACATACAGTTTTTCATAATCTTTGAATAATGTTTCATTCTAGAACATATAATACCAATCATATTTACAGATGACCACCATTCTTTGAAGTTCTTGTTATCGCAAAACACAAATTTATATAATGTTGATTATTACTCATGAGTTTACAGTTCTCTGTGAACTTTATGCACCTAAGTAGATTACAAGATTGAAAAAAAATGTAAGGTAAATTTGTAAGTCCGGTTTCTTTGTCACCTTTCTACGTGAATATACGAGAAGGTTGTATAACTGTCAAATAAAATTGCTCTTCAACGATGAAAGACCTTCCAGATTTGCTCTTAATATAGGTTTTTCTACCAGCTATACTTGCGATTCATAATACCTACAACTTTAATAGTATTAAATGAATAGTTTGTTGTAGATTACACTTTTTTGATATGATTTTGCGTGACTGGGGTTTTATTTAAGCGGTGTGCAATTTTTCGTAGTCAAAGTTGGATTTTAAAAGATGGGATGAAATATAAAGAGAAAACAATATTTTAGCTTTCTCCATAAGCACTGAAACAATGTGAAAACTCTTCAAAAAAATTGAAAAATATTGTTTCTACTAAATGACAAAAAATATTTGGAATATCTTCTATCCCCTACTGAGAAATCAATTTTTATTTTGAGTTGGAATTGATATAAATTTTTTGGTTTCGGTGCTGTAGTTGATATTTTTCATTTGGATTTGAAACATTGAAAAATATGAGTGTTCACATGATATATAACACTTGCCTGTATTATGGAAGTCTTGCCAACGGCCGGTGCCCCCAATAAAATAACTTTAATCCTATCGACCGAATCTGGGCTGATTTCAATTGGCGACCGCTGTTCTCCTTGGCTGCTCTCCTGTCCCGAAGTTCCTGAAGTGGCATGCTGGCGTCTTTCCAGGAAATCCAGGTCCAACTCTGGAACAAGTGAATGGGTTATAATACAAATCGACCTATATCGGCGAGAAATTCACTAATGGTTTTCATCATCCAGGCGTTCAAAAAATTAACGGAACGCCAAGCCGTCGCGACTAGTCAATTAATTTCCTTGCTTGTAATTGAATGTTTTATTGGAATCATCGCTTGAATATCTATAGATATATTTGTGATTTCGATTGTAGATTATAATCATTTGAAACTTGAAAAAACAATCCAGGAGAACGACATTATTTAAATGTTGAAAATAACTCTTATTGATTACTTTTGACATTTAAGGCACTAAGTGAAATCAAGGGAACACTTTCCGTGAAAGTATCTATAAAATAGAGACTGTTCACAATCTTTCTTCAATGTTTCGAACTATCAAGAATATTGAGTATCCAATCAAGCGGATAGCTCTTTGTCGGTACATATACATGGTATTCACGACAAAACTCATTGCGCCAATCACCGTGTCTGTATTCAGAAGCTTATACATTCTGGAAACTTTGTAGCAGTTAGCTGTGGTGTGTTTGTATCCACAGTGAAGATATCTATTTTAGGGTTTTGTATATGAGTATAGGTAGATATACACACGTATACTGTTAGCATTTATGGTTATTTTTGTGATGGTGAACATTTATATTTATTGCAATATGGTTATTGAAAGTCTATTTGTAATATTTCAAACAAAATGGAATTGAAAGGTATTTTGTATTCATTTAATAAATAAACTCTCTCATACGTCACACACAATGGTAATTTTATCAATTTTGAAAGAAGTAACTCTATACATAGATGTGTAGATCATGCAAAGAAGTAACTTTTGGACACAAACTGGAAGAAAAAGCCCTCCTGTGGATGATATCTGATTCAATTCCACAATGAATGTTTGGAATAGAAACTGAGTCGAGGAAAGTGTTCATATAGAAGTATTTGTTTCGAAAGATTTTTTTCGTGTAATTCAGAATTTATATAGAAGTAGCTGTTTCAGGAAGGCTTTTTCTTCCAGTTTGTGTCTGAAAGTTACTTCTCTGCATGATCTATACATCTATGTATAGAGTTATTCCTTTTGAAATTGGATACTAATAATGTACATAAACAAAAGCAATATCATCATTTGTAAGCCATGTCTCACATAATAAATGAATATTACGTTAGGTTAAGGCTAAAGTGAGTGGGTCTATTCGACCCTCCACCGCAACCCGCAAGGGTTTATTGTGGCTCACACCTATTCACACTCTACCAAATAAACCCAGCTTCTCAACGAAGCCAACCAATTAGTTTGTATAGTCTTTGTATATAATTTGTATGGTCTTTCAGGTCAGATGGTAAGAGAACGACTCTGCCGAACTATAAAAACCTGATTTGGTCCCCAGTGGGGCAGGTACAAAGTATATGCTCTGCTGTTTCATCGTTAATGAGGTAGTCGGATAGTCATGGTGCAAGGTGCAAGGTGATACCCGTGACAAACTTCCCATATGAGAGTTTTTGCACGTCAGCTACAACTGACGATGCCTTAGATTCAACCGTGCAGGGCTTTTTCGCCTCTGGTTTTGGTGAATCATTACTTGAGCGCAAACGTTTGCTAATGCTCTTGGGGGTTTGTTCCTCCACCTGAGACAGATTCTGTCACTCAAAAATTTGGTGCAAGGCGGTTTCATAAGGTACCCCGCTCTTGAGAAGATGACTCAGTCGTTTCTTGGTCGCACCACCAAACATTTTTTTCAGTTTCAGTTATTGTATCAGGAGTTGTAGAGTTGAGAAGCTCTCGCTCCTGATCTAAATTTACAGGGAGGTCAGTTGGAGTTGTAAGATCAACATCCATATATTACGTGTTTGCTGGTTAGATTTTTAAAATACAGTCAACACTATATATCCATGGCACACTAAACACTGAGCGTTTGTCCGACGAGAGAGGACGAGCCTGCCTTCTGCTGAAGTATGTGTGAGAGAAAGGGAAGCCAGACAGACTGGTGCTGTAAAGCGGTTTCTCCTCCCATAAGAAGTTATCACTTCAAAAAATAACAATAAATTCTATGCTGAGTTCTATACAACAGAAAGTAACGAAAGAATAGCAATCAATGGTGAAAAGTGTTCGATGGTTTGACAATGGTTACAAAAAAGTATCAAAGAAATTTGTTAGCCAGTATATACACTTTCGTACCCCAAGTATGATGGCTTCAAGAGATATAAAAACTCATATCCATATTTGTCATCTGTTGCAGAACTGGGTATAACCTACCTTTTAATGAATAATAATCTCCACTGGTGATGTCTTCAAACATAAAATCAAGGATAAAAAATTCAGCCTCGTATGGTTTTCAAACAAAATGAGTTGCTCACAAAGCCCGCAATTATAATAAACCTTTCCGGACTTGACTGTATTCGTGTTATAAATGTTGATGCTCTAACAATATTTCTCCAGTTTTATCTTCGCCGCAATAAAAACTGCCAACCCTCTGCGGACTGTTAAATCATTTCATTTAAAGCACATTTCCACAATTATTTGAACGTGGAAATTCATAGAAATTATTAAATCATTTTTATTTTTAACTGGTGAATTTTATTTGTTTCCACAGCGAATTATACAATTCAGTAAATTCAATTCTCGCCAAATTTAACGGCTACATAAAATGAATTATATTCAATCAACAGACAAGTTATTTTATGGGTATATGAAAAATAATTGAAGTTGTATTTTCACTGCGTACTGAAGAAAATGTTTATTGGTGAGAAAACTATGAATCAAAATAATTTGAATAGTGGAATATGGAACCTCTGGCGAAAACACATTTTCCTCAACAGAACAAAATGGCTGTCTTTCGATGCGCGTTTCGCCAAGCAAGTTGGCATCATCGGTAGATGTCTAAGACTACTCGTTACAAACTATACTAATGTTTTCATATGCATCTACACGAATGACTGTCTTTTTGTTATGTACTACCTGACTGATATTTAACCTTTATTTTATTCAAATAACAAGCTATTGGAATGAAACATTTTTCTACTATGATCTGCTCGAAGGGTCGAAATTTCTGAAAGGGCCAATAGGCATTTTTTTTATCGAAAAAGTGGATAGCCCATTTGATTTGGGCATATTTCAAACCGTTATATACCAAGTATCAGCCCAATATCACATACAGTGCTTTAGTTATATGATGACAAATTCACAACTTCATGATTTTTTGACTAACTGTACACTTCGAAGGAAAGGTGAAGTAGCCATTGAAATGAAAAACACATGAAATATTCATCATCGTACCAGGTACAGATAGATATCCCAAGTTCAACAAAAAAACAAAAGTTGAAAATGTTTTATCCATATCGTTTGATTTTTTGGTATAATAAATAGTCAATCAACGATTGTAAAAATACCCCTATATATGCTTTTTTTTAAACATTGGTCGCGATTTCAAACGGCATATTCTTATGATTAAATCAATAAGCCAGACACTGTTTTTCATAGTATGCTTTGAAATTGATTTGTCTCTTTTTTGTTCGCTTTCCACGAATATTTGGTGAAGTGAATGGGGAATGTTCCTCAATTTGGGTTATTACAGCAAATGCAAATTTGAACAAAATAAAGTTGAGTTTAATTCATGAGTTTTTCAAATTCACTTTGAAAAGTATTCAAATTGATGTTTCAAATGTTGGGATTTATTTCTAATTCACATATTGGTAACAGCGCCTATATCAAGTTGAAATAATTTATACGTACCTAGATATTCTACTTTAAAAAAGGAAATTTATCTTTATAAATCAACAATTAAGGTAAAATATAAATTATAGTTGAATACTACCTCCACAAGCCACATAAACAAAAGTTGTTTTGTTATTTATTTATATATAGGAAGATAGGTTAGGTGCACAAAATGTCATATGTCACAAAATGTCTCGGAACTCGGAACATACGTAAACAGAAAGGCACGCTTCTGAAATATGTCATCTTTGTTTGTCTCATACAGGTAACAAACAGATTCATTGTCCTTTATTATCTATAACCGATGTTGCCAAATGGTGAAATAGAAACGAATCCCTTTAAATGTTGAATGCATTATTTCATTCCTCTTTTTTAAGTATTCAAATATTTTTTTTAAGAAAAAGGTTGAAATGATAAGTTTGAAATGCGTTGTTTTAGATCTCTTTTATGAAAACTACTTGATTTTCGTCAGGAGGAACATTCCCCATTATAAAAAGGTGTTTTCAAAATGGTAAATCTCAACTCAGTCGATAGAATTGAGATTGTGCGTTTAGTTGGTGATAAGATTGTGAACCAATTCACCATACAACTGTCTGCAGGATCAATACGTTATTCAATAGAACAGGGGAAGTAAATGAAACCCATGTACCGAGACAAAGAGGGAATATAGAGATATATGGACAAATTTTAGAGTATGTTCAAAAAAACTCGAAAAATATCTTTTGTCAGATTTCACGAGATTTATACGTTAGTATATCTAAAATACGTACTTGTTCGAAAAAACAAATCTTGATGGAAAATTTCAAGGAAGATGGATTGAAAGCCCTTTTATCTGTTGGTCCCCACGATCACCAGACCTGACTCCGTTAGAGTCAAATAAATGTTATGGGTAAGCAAATATTATCACACAAAAATTTACAAAGTGAAAAAACATATTTTTGTTTCAAATTTAGGATTGGCAAAAATTATGCTAATCAAGATTGTTCTTTACGAGAAATTGCTCACGAAATGGGGATTTCTGTAAAATCCACCAGAACTATTTTGAAAAAGAACAAATATAAATGCTACAGGATACGCAAAGTTCATCACCTCAAAGAAAGGGATTACGGAAGGAGAGAACGATTTGCGAAGTGGTTAAGATGTAGAAATAGGTTGTAAATATTTGTAAAAAAATAATATGGACGGACGAATAAAAATTCACCAACAATGGTTGGTTTAACAGAAATACCCATTATAGGTGGAATAATTACAAACAGAAACCAATTTCCAAGAAAGGCTCGAAATAAGTGTTTGGTTGTAGTCTGGGCTTTAAGTTTAGATTTGTGTTAAATGGACATACTTTT